TCTTTGGGTTGCTTGTGCATAATGCACATTAAAACATGCATCTTATAAAGCACAGCTTTAAAGGAAGTTTGAAGAACACAGTAAAGTAATGCCTACGTAGCCAGGGAAACATTTTGATCTGCCATATCATGAATTTCCTATTAAAAGAGTTACTTTAGATGTATGGATTTGTGTCTAAAATGTGAAGGCTCAGTGCAGCCACATTCTCATATAAATTCAGACCTGTGGATAAATCAATTTCACCAGCCCAAGGATTATTCTTACCAAAAGGAAAGCACTTTTCAACTGCAAGAAAGCAAGAAAATTCAGCAATTTTAGTTCAGAGAATTGCTGCAAAAGTGAGCAAAAGGCAAAAGCTCATTCAGAGCAAGGTCATTGTCCTCACTTTGTTATGTCAAGACATCTTGACATAACAAAAATATGATGGATTTACCACATTTCACTTTGTGAAATCACATTCACTGCATAGTCCCCAATTTGTTAGGACCACTTTTTCAAGAAGATGCCCTTTGTTAAATATAGCAATGAAACATTTGCCAATTGGCTAGCAAACAGCCCTCAAATCACTGGCAAGAAAAGGTGGGTAACGTTGGGGGGGGGGTTATTTTGACTGTCTCTGAAAGCACTCTTTGTACTTTATGTACATTATGTACATTAGCATAGCCCTAATACTTTGAACAAAAACCAAAAATAATTATCTCTCTAGAGGTCCTCTGAAGATTAGGTATTTTTTTCTTTTAAGGATTGGGTACTGGCCAATACAAAGTACCACCATCATAGCTATTTTATACAAGAAGGTTTCGTTCTGGACCTCTGTCGTTCTTACTACAGTAGCCATTGGTCCTTGCAATCCTGTTGGATCTTGAGTTCCTAGGACAAGCACCTGGCTAGCACCCTCGGTCCAGATTGAAAAAGTTAACGATAGGGGGTTTCAGACAACCTCCCCACCATACGTTAAAAGACCACATGAGAGGGGGTGTAAGCAGGAGCCACACAGCCCCACCATACACAGCAACCACATTGTCCATGCCTTCTCGGTAGTGGCGCCCGCCCTGTGGAATGCCCTCCCATCAGATGTCAAAGAGATAAACAACTACCTGACATTTAGAAGATATCTGAAGGCAGCCCTGTTCAGGGAAGTTTTTAATGTGTGACATTTTAATGTATTCTTAATCTTTGTTGGAAGCCGCCCAGAGTGGCTGGGGAAACCCAACCAGATGGGCGGGGTACATATAATAAATTGTTGTTGTTAGACTGGCATTTGGGAGCTCCTTGTTAGTATATAGTTCTGTTCCACCGTTTACATCCTCCCCCTTTCTGTGTAACCTGTAGTACCTGTGGTTCAACCCAATTGCAACCTCTGTACATAAACCTTAAGTTGTTCTCCGTTAACAACCTTAGAGAACAACTTAAGGTTTATGTACAGAGGTTGCAATTGTGTTGAACCACAGATACTACAGGTTACATGGAAAGGGGGAGGATATTAGAATATAGTTCTGTTCCACCTTAAACGGTGGAAGCAATCAGTCATGTTTTTCCTTTGTTCTGAACTATGTTGAATAAAACGATGGAACGGAACTATTTCCTAACACTCCTTTATGGGGGGGTGTCTCCCCCCCATAAAGAAGCTCTCCACAAATAGATCAAAGTGTGCATGTAGCCCCTTCACACACCAGCCAAATAAGTGAACGGCAAGGTGTTTATCCACTGCCTACATAGGAATAGGGCTAGCCCGCAGTCCTAGTCACTCCATCAGTCCTTCACTCCCCATGTATGTGTGGCATTGTGTAACCCCCCACCCCCAACATCTGGTCCTTTGCTGAATATTTGAAGCTGCCATATACCTTGGTTCTCAAACGGCTTAGTTGTTGAAGAACGAAGTGTTCTGGTTTGTGAACGTTTTTCAGAAGCCAAATGTCAAACACGGCTTCTGATTGGCTGCAGGAAGTTCCTGCAGCCAATTGGAAGCCACCTCTTGGTTTTCGAACGGATTAAGTTTGAGAACCAAGGTACCACTGTACTGAGTCAGATCACTGATAAATCTTTTTCACTATAGTCTATTTTGACTCGCAGTGTCTCCCCAAGGTTTCAGGTGAGAGATCTTTCTCTACCCTGCTATTAGCTGAAGGTGTTAAGGGTTGAACCTTCTGAATGCAAGCACGACCTTTTTACACCACTGAACTCTGGCCCTCCCCTGTTCAGGAATAATTTTTTACACCCAGAACAATATGTGTGCGTGTTAACTAAATGACCATTCTCCCCATGCCCAGGTCTGTGTACCCACAAGAATCACCCAGGGCTTGAAATATTGGCACGGTGTGTTTGTGTGTTGGTCAGAGGTAGAGATGGACAAACCTGTCCATTTGGGTTTCTCATTTTCCCCATCTTGAGTCCCGTTCTCCACAGTTCTGTGTCGGTGTGTGATGGTTTAGTGCTCATTTTCTCCTAAATTTAATGTTTTCCTATGCAATGTTGCCTACAACATACATTTTTGCAAGCAATTTCCCCTAATACGCATTTCAACATGTTGCTTTCACTAATAAATGCACTTTTTGGTACTCGTTATTTGGTTGGAGAAACAACCAAAACTCAAAACTCGGAGGAGTGTGAATTGTGAAGGAGGGTTGTGTTTTGGTTCACACATTGTTTCAGGAAATGTTTTATCCGGTAGGTTTGCATGAAAAAGCCAATGGAACCAAATTACTCCCCCATCTCTAGGAGGGGCTCTGCCTCCCAACCTGTTGTGCCAGTACCCAGTTTTGAAGGCTCCAAGTGGGGGCCTGATTTGGTTAAAATTTAGGGGAGTCTGGAGGTGGGCTTACTTCCCCATCCCCAATTTGAGCACCACCTCAGCTACCTCTAAAACATCTTACCTGGTGCTTTAAAAAATAAATAAATTCAGGGATACTCTCATTTTCCTACTCATATTGAAATAACGGCCCTTCAAGGAGGTCAAACCTAGATTCACAAAATGTTTAGAGGTATGCGTACCCCTGTGTACCCCCAAAGTCCATAACTCCCTAGTAAGAGCAGATGCACTGCAAGTTGGATCCTCTAACTGAGGGTCCATGTTGTGCACGGCCCTGGAACTCTTCCCCAATTGGCTTGTGGGCGGGGCTTGCCCCGCTCCAGCCGGTGGTGCCCCAATTAGGCCACTGGCCTTTAGCCAATCAGCAACGTGGCAAGGTTGGGGGTTGGGGGTATTTATTCGACGGCACGACATGGGGACCCTCTCTTGCTTCGTGCAGCCAAACACCCGCCCGCCCACCCGTTAGTTAAGTCGTGTCTGGCCTTGCTTTGGACTTCGGTTGATCACCTGTTTTGGAACGGAGGCCAAGTAGGATTTTTGTCCAATGTGGCAGATTGGCTGTGGCCACTTGGTTTTTGCCTACCTCTTAGCAATCGTCACAACTTTGTAAGGTTTGGCGGTTAGGCATTGGTTTAGGGGAATGTGGGGAGGGGAGGTGTAGCCATCACCTGCCCCTCCAATTAATAGGGTATTCCTTTAAAGGAATACGGGGGTCTGGATCTCGCCCGAAGCTCGGGGAGGGGCTAGGGCCATGCCAGAACCCTCGGGAACCCCAGGGGTGAACCCCAGTCAATATGCATTGATGGAGTTCCCCCTGCTGGTTGTTTACCCTTCCAGGCTTCCTGCAGGGTGGGCAGGAGCTAGTTATAGTTTTGATACCGATGCCTAAGCCAATACCAGTCACACTTGTGTATTCACTAAAGTTGTGGCCAAAATTTGCCCATTAACCTTTAAACTAAATTCTCTCTCCACTGTGTCTTTATTTCCATGGGGGACGGGTTTTGGGGCTCGGAGCACAAGTATAAGGTCCCAGGTGCCATCTCCATCGAAAGGACATAAGCTCATGTGAACCTGTCTCTGCTTAGATATCCTGTAATAACATAAGCCAAGCAGCCTAAAACAGCAGACAGACCCCACCAATTAAGTAATGACCACAAGCATGAAATAATACCACGGTACTGAAAAATTTGGGACATGTGATTTACAGATGTAGGGATCCAACTTCCCCCTCATTTGCACAGGTAAGTTAGCATTATATCCATCACTAAAAATCCGAAGAACTCAAGAGACCAATTACAGCAACATGTCACTGCTCCATTTATCAAGAACATGAAGATACAAGAAAAAATAACATTCCACCCATGAGTCCAAACTGGGCCAAAGTATGCCCCCCCCAATTTTTTTTTGTAATAAAAGAACATTACTCAAGTAGGAAACACTATTGCGGAAGAGATTATTTTTTGACAGAAAGCGAGCTTGGTTCCAGAAATGCTAGTGTCCATCAGGAAGAAACATATGGAGTTGCTTGGGCATGTTCAGAAAATACAGGAAGCATATGTGAAGCATAAATATTTGATCCATAAAGCGTTTTGCTGATCTTAGACATTCGCCTGCCTTCTGTTTGTCTTAGATAAACCATGAGTTTTCTTGCAGTTATCCTAAGAAAAAACCAAAACAAAATCGGGAAATTCTGGCGAGAGTCAAGATGGAATCCTGTGTTTGTAAGAATAACATTTTATGTGATTAAGGATTTGCGGGGGGGGGGGCGCTTTTAGAGTGCCAAGTGTAAATAGTATAGTCTAATAAAAGCGAAACTGGGATGTAGCAAAATCGGGTGGCGTGTGGCTACACAATTTCATTTCCCAGTGGTCTGTCCGAAGTCCATTTTGGGGGCCTAATTCTGCCCACCGGTTGGTTTAATCCAGCCCCTGTGGCAGTTCATTTCCTGGGGTAAAATACCTAAAAATACCTCAACAACTTCAATCCTAAAAGAAGCTCAGCAACTTTGGTTGGCCTTTTGGTCGGCCTCCACGGCCCTTCACTTCATCAAGTCTGGCCCTCTTTGAAAAAGAGTCTAAGAGAACATGGAAAGATCTTCTGCCCATGTGAAGAAAGAAAAGAAAGTTAGATGAAATCATGAGGCCACACACCAAAAAGGAATCTTTGCTGTGAGGAGATTTCTGCCCAAATTTCACTTTAGCCTAATGCAATCCACCTCTGTCACAGGCATGGCACTAGTTCTGATGTCGGTATCAACGCTAGACTTGGCTCCATGGTAAGTGGACCTCCATCTGAGCAACATGATCTTCTTGAAGTACTTCATGGTGTTGTTCTTTACTGTTACGAAGCACATGGTGTTTATCATGCTGTTGCTCATGGCTATGCATTCCACTATGTAAAAGGCGGTAAGGTAATGCTTCTCTTTCACAAACACGGTGGGGAAAAAATCACGGACGATTGTGAATCCGTAGAAAGGTGCCCAGCAGAGGACATAGGCCGTCAGGATACACATCAGCACCAGAACCGTTTTCCTCCGGCAACGGAGCCTCTTCCGGATCTGTTCCGTCTGAAAGCCCGGGACCGTTTTGAACCAAAGTTCCCGCGAGATCCTGGCATAGCAGAGGGTCATGGTGAGAACGGGTCCGACAAACTCGATGCCAAAGATAAAGAGGAAATAGGATTTGTAATACATCTGCTGGTCGACAGGCCAAATCTGGCCACAGAAAATTTTCTTTTGGTTTTTGATCATGAATAATACGGTTTCCGTCGCAAAATACGCGGATGGGATGGCAATGATTAGAGAGACGATCCAGACAATGGCAATCAGAAAGGTTGCTGTTTGGTAGTTCATCCTGGGTTTCAGTGGGTGAACGATGGCGAGGTACCTGCAAAAGACAGATGTTTCCAAATTCTTGTTAGGAAAGGCTTGCAATTAAATTATGTTAAATTATATTTATTTGTTACTGGGTAGAAATAGCAAGTCTTTTTCTTAACTCCCACCAACACTGTAATCAATATTGAGGAAATACGTTGGGCTGACAGGCAAAGGTAAAGATAAAGGACCCCTGGACGGTTACGTCCAGTCAAAGGCAACTATGGGGTTGTGGTGCTCATCTTGCTTTCAGGCTGAGAGAGCAAGCATTTGTCCACAGACAGTTTTCTGAGTCATGTGGCCAGCATGACTAAATTGCTTCTGGTGCAACGGGACACCGTGACAGAAACCAGAGTGCATGGAAATGCTGTTTACCTTCCCGCCAGAGTGGTACCTATTTATCTACTTGCATTGGTATGCTTTTGAACTGCTAGGTTGGCAGGAGCTGGGACCAAGCAACGGGAGCTCACCCTGTCACAGGGATTTGAATTGCTGACCTTCCAATAGGCACAGCTCAAGTGGCTCAGTGGTTTAGACCACAGCATCACCCACATCCCTTCTCGGGCTGGCATAATATTGATGGCGGTGCATAACCCTGCAATCCAAACCCCTGATCCTGGGAGTGTCTCTGCTGATGGTGCAAAGGAGCATATCAGACTTTGTCTTAAAGTATAATGACATGAGGTTTTAGAGTCATTATTATTATTATTAAAAATTTAGATTGCTTCTGGGTGATTTTTTTTAGCAATGATTTTATTTACTGCAGTTATTTTAATGTTACTTAATGTTGTCTGTAATCTTATTGTATTGTTGCTTTACTGATTGCTTGAGAGGGTAAGCACCCTAAAAGGCAAAATGATATATATATATATATATTAAAAATACAGACTATGGTTTTAAAAAATACAAGCCCTGTGACATCAGGAAAGTGACAAGGTTATAGGGCTTACTCAGCCAATGCCCTGATTTTCTCTTGTATTAATCAGTGGATCCCAAGGTCACCTGGGGCCGTCTCTTTAGATTTCAGAGTAGTGTTACAGTCGTGGCTCATCATAAAGCAAGACCATGTTTTCCATACCATTTCTTTCAGCAGCAATTGGCTGCAAAATACTTTCCTGCACTGAAAAAGGTTGTAGGCAAACTCCTAATTATACCTGATGCTTTCCTGTAACATGAATGGTTTCCAGCACTTCTTATCTGTAGCTGCCCAGCTACTCAGATGGGAAGTTGAAACACATTCTGTCTGCATGTATTGACAGTTCGTTCTTATTCGAGATTAATGTTTTTAATCAACCGAGAATGCAGTGTGTTCATATTTCCACATGAAGGCAAACGCAAGAGGTTTGCATTGATTCCTAACAGCGTCTGTGAATTAAGGTCCTGATAGGAATGCGAGAATTCCTCTGAAAGAAAGACACTGGGAATTAAGATGGCATGCACAGCTTTCCATAAGCATTAGTGCTTTGGCTGACAAGAGTGAAAGCTATTTTGCTTCTCTTATTCTCAGAGCCGGTGGGAGTGAGCATGAAACCTTCCCTCTTTCGATAACATCAGCTGGTGCAAACCCAAGATAAATAAGCATGATCTAGACAGGGAAATCTGTAGGAAGGAGTAACACAATATCAGGATTCATGTTCCCAAAGTGGACCTCTATTGAAGTGGTTGGATGTGGCTTTAAATCAAGAGGGGCTAACCTGTGGCCTGCAGGCTGCGTACGGTCCCTTAAATATTTTAATGTGGCCCCAAGGACCTGCCCGCTAAATTTGCTTCTCTTTTTTAAGCCTATTTGATGCTTGCTCTTCACACACACAACCCTGTTTTGGGTATCCAGATCGGGAGCCTCTTTTTACCTTTAAAGGGGGACTTCGGTGGCGCTGTGGTCTAAACCACAGAGCCTAGGGCTTGCCGATCAGAAGGTCAGCAGTTCGAATCCCCACAATGGGGTGAGCTCCCGTTGCTCGGTCCGTGCTCCTGCCCACCTAGCAGTTCGAAAGCATGTTAAAGTGCAAGTAGATAAATAGGTACCACTCTGGCGGGAAGGTAAACGGTGTTTCCATGCACTGCTCTGGTTCACCAGAAGCGGCTTAGTCATGCTGGCCACATGACCTGGAAGCTGTACGCCGGCTCCCTCGGCCAGTAAAGCGAGATGAGCGCCACAACCCCAGAGTCATCCGCGACTGGACCTAAAGGTCAGGGGTCCCTTTACCTTTACCTTTTCCCATTTTGGGGGCAGCATCATCGTAAGAAGGTCTTATAGCTGAGGAACCAAGAAGGAGAGATCATTCAAGACCTTCTTGCAATGGCTCTTCCAGAGGTCATTTGTTAAGGTAAAAAGAGGGCTTCGCTCCCCCTTGTTTCCTACCTCATTCAAGTGCAGCAGAATCTCTCCCTGCTCCCCAGCCGATTGGTAGAAGAGCAGGGGTTGGGGCTACTGAACATATATGTATGTTTCACTGTATCATTAGTAGTATCATTACTAATATTATTCATCTCCTTCCATATCTATATCTATATCTATATCTATATCTATATCTATATCTATATCTATATCTATATCTATATCTATATCTATATATCTATATCATCTATATATTGTGTTAAATGCCATCCCAATCTCCATGCAGTGAGAGATTCCAGTGGTTCCAGGCACTTACCCAGGGTTTGTGTTTCCTTCTGGAAGTGAGGATCTGCAGAGACTGAAGTGTCTTTATGATATATGGTTTATTTACACATAAAAGGTAAAAAGGTAAAGGACCCCTGGATGGTTAAGTCCAGTCAAAAGTGACTATGTGGTGTGGTGCTCATCTCATTTTTCAGGCCGAGGGAGCCGGCGTTTGTCCACAGACAGCTTTCCGGGTCATGTGGCGAGCATGACTAAGCCGCTTCTGGCACAACGGGACACCATGATGGAAACCAGAGTGCACAGAAACGCCGTTTACCTTTCCGCCGCAGCAGTACCTATTTATCTACTTGCACTGGTGTGCTTTTGAACTGCTAGGTTGGCAGGAGCTGGGACAGAGCAATGGGAGTTCACCCTGTCACAGGGATTCGAACTGCTGACCTTCCAATCGGCAAGTACAAGAGGACGTGTCCCATTCCCTTTACCTTATTTACACATATATACAACCTGAGTCTAGATAGAGGAGCTCCCAGCATTACACTCTAAGGGGGTCCCTTGCTTCTCCCATAGGCAAAGCATGAGAAATTGGCCATGCTCTGTGTCCCCTTCTACAGCCCCCACTCTCACCTCTAACAGACTAAAACGATTCCCCTCTGTACACAAGGGATTGCATCACAGGAGTTAGATCATATGGGACTGCGTAGTAAAGGTAAAGGGACCCCTGACCATTAGGTCCAGTCATGGCCAACTCTGGGGTTGCGGTGCTCATCTCGCTTTATTGGCCAAGGGAGCCGGAGTACAGCTTCCGGGTCATGTGGCCAGCATGACTAAGCCGCTTCTGGCGAACCAGAGCAGCACACGGAAATGCCGTTTACCTACCCACCGGAGCGATACCTATTTATCTGCTTGTACTTTGACGTGCTTTCAAACTGCTAGGTGGGCAGGAGCAGGGATCAAGTAATGGGAGCTCACCCCATCGTGGGGATTTGAACCGCCGACCTTCTGATCGGCAAGCCCTAGGCTCTGTGGTTTAAACCACAGCGCCACGCGTCCCTGGGACTGCATAGAGCTTCATGCATTTTTTTATAGCTCAGTCAGAAAAGCATGAGACTCTTAATCTCAGGGTCACGAGTTTGAGCCCCACGTTGGGCAAAAGATTTCTACATTGCAGGGGGTTGGAATAGATGACCCTTGTGGTCTCTTCCAACTCCATGATGCTACGATTAATCTTTTCATATGCGCTTTTCACTAATGCACACATTTTTGCAAGCAAATTTTCCCCTAACATAATGCATTTTTGTATGCTATTTTCTATTATACACACTTTCCTCTAACGTTTTGCAAACATCGTTGGGCTGGAGAATTGCATTGCAAAATTCTGATGAGTCCAAATTTTGAAGGCTAGCTGCGCTCGGTTCTCATATTGTTTCAGAAAGTGCAAATTCGATAGCGCAAATTTGGCTTTAAAGGAGAACCGAAATGAATTTCTCTTCCACAAGGACTCAAGTATCCACAGATGTCGGTGAAGATAGAAGCTGAGTTCGGGTAACTGGAGAACAGGGGAAGAGGGAGGAAGTGGGGGGGGGGAATAAAACCCACAGATGTAAGAAAATAGCATATTTTTAATTTTTTTAAAAAAAATCCAGATGGAAAAATGCTTAAGATGAAATATTTCAGCTTCTGTGACTTTAGTTTCTTAAAAATTGCTCTGCAGGTGAACTGGTAATAGACAACAAGCGCTGCATGGAAGTGACAATGGGGATGGTGACAGTTGTTCCATCAATCTTGCAATCGACTTCTACTAGCTCTTGAAGGAGTATCAGAATGCACTGTGATTTTTAATTCCCTTTCTAGGTTACCGCGGGCCTCTTATCAGAGAAGAGAATGCTACATAAAACCAATTTCAAAGCTACATTGGTGTTTCACAAAGCCAGACTGCCCATTAAGCTACTAGGTTCCCCCCTTCAACTTTCACCTCTACTGAATTCTCTTCCCGAAGCCTAATACTTTGCATTCTACTAGTCTCACTCCTTGAGAAGCATGTTGTTACTCTTTATTTCTGCTTCAGAATTAAAATCTTGGACATTTATCAGTGTAGTTCTTTTTTTTCTGATATGTGGCTGTATACTAAACACATTTCTTATATATTAATGTGTCCTATTACAATGGAGGAACATTAGCTGTAGATTTTCCATTGATGTTACAAGCCTACGTTTTTATATAAAACATTCAGAAAATAAATTTCCTTGGCACTAAACATAATTGCAAAAATAATACTGGTCTCTCCAGAGCTGAGTCAGACTAAGAGAGAGAGAGAGAGAAGATTGCCGCTCTTCCAGATTATGATCCCATATTGCAAAGATACGGCCATTATATGATCACTAAACAATAATAGTCTGTAGAAATGGATTCGTCAAAGGCCATTTATGTTTGTGCGCCAACAAGTCTGCCGTATTATTGGTAATTTCAAAAGATGCTGAAAACCCCAAAGACGCCATTCTGACCTGTCAAAATTAGGTTGTTATGCAAAGAGGAGGCAAAGTTTATTTGGCTTTGGGGCACTTTCAGACTGTTGAATGGGATTCGACCACATGCCAGGAAATTCAGATTGCACAACCACAGTTGATTAAGAGGTCTTGCACAACAAATCTGCTTTCACTGCTTTGCACTGGAAAAAGTGCTTTGAGGCAACATGGTCTAGCCTACCCCCCCAAAAAAAATCCGGATAAATGTTCAATAAGCAAGTTTCTTGGAAGTGCCCTTCAGTACAAATACTAGTTATGTGACCCTCAAGCTCCGGATGTTTTTAATGTTTGCCATCCATTTTAAAAATGTTTTTATATGTGCTGGAAGCTGTCCAGAGTGGCTGGGGAAACCCAGCCAGATGGGTGAGGTATAAGTAATAAAATGATTATTATTATTCTTTTTATAAAGGAGGATAGACTCTGCCAATTGCTGCGTGCTTCTGGTTCTGCTTGGCAATTTGGTATACTAATGGCATACACTATCCCCACCAGCTCCTTAATGATAATTATTGCTAGTTCCCAAGGTATCTCTTTCAAATCATGCTCATGTTTCACACTCAGAGAGGATATTGTTTTAAAACTTCAAGATGACTAGAAACTCGTTTTTGAAATAACAGGATGGCTGGATAAGCCACATGCAGCAAAAGCTAGCTTTGATTGCAGACGTTTGATCCCAGGACTGAAATCCTTTGCAGTGATTATGAAGCAGTGCTTCAACCTAAATTTTCTCATAAATTGAAAAAGAAATCTTTTTTGCTTCTGCTGAATCATGCTTTGAATTGGAAACAAAAGATAATCCACTGTAATGCATCCTTGCATACTCACAAGCTCACCTGCTGAGCGATTTTTAATATTAAATGGTAATGAAATGAAATGAAATCAATCCTAGGCATTTATTTATCTGGATTTTTGTTTAAATAAAAGATTAAGAGATGAAGTATTTCTTTCATGGCTTTTAAACCTGCTTTTGGCACCCCTTCTCTCTCTTTCCCCACAACTGATGGCTAAAACAGCCTGGAAAGATAGAGCACAGGGACCTGGAAGGATAATTCGTGTCCAGATCAGAGGTGCAAAACAATGGGCTGCCTGAGAAGGTGTGCAAGGAAAAGGAAATCCTTCTATCGAGTATTGCAAGCCCCAGGGCTGAAACAGGTTGCCCTTCTGCCACAAGAATGCTGATAGCCAAATGGTGGAAGGGAGATACAATACCAACTAAAATGGAGTGGCAAGCGAAATTATTTGATCATGCAGAATTGGCAAAGATGACAGGAAAAATTAGGAACCAGACAAACCCAAAGTTCAGTGCTTTTTTTCTTTAAAAAAAATGTTTAGAGGTACTCTCATTTTCCTACTTATATTGAAATACTGCGCCTCAATGAGGCCAAACTTAGATTCACAAAATGTTAAGGGTACCCCCAGAAAAAAAGCACTGCAAAGGTTTAACAAAGAATGGGATATATACCGATTATATTCAAAAGAGCATTGTCCATATATGAAATCTTTGACATGCTTTGATTCACTTCTGCGATGTTATATGCGACAAAGATTATAGGTAATTTATGATAAGTTAAAGGTCATACAATATGCAGACAACAAGGAAATGAAGGACGCGTACTGAGGAAGACAGGAGTCTTAACGTATGGAATGATTTTATTTTATATGTAACGTTTTCTTTGTATTTGATGGGCTTTGTTTTTTCTTTTGTTCTTTTTGTGGTGAATGGACTTAATATGCAAAATCAATAAAGATTAAATTGCAAAAAATGAAAAAAGAAGAATCAGGTTGCCCTTTGCTGGGAAAACAGTCTGCATCATCCACTCTGCTAAGCCAAAATGTCACAAAGTCCTTTCACCTCAAGCCTCTGAGATGCTGTGAAGTGTGTACACTGCGAAGTGTGTTGCATTTTGGAGCACGATGTACATAGATTCTGAAGCGGAGAGAAGACTTGAGTGCCTAATTAACTGTTCAGTATTTAAATTGCTAATGTGTATTTAAAGGGAAAATCTGTTTGGATAATAGAGTGCATGAAATATATTCTAAAATATATTCTACAATATAGAACCAAAATACACATGCCTTAGAAGTTCACACAATTTTCCAATGCAGTTCTCCAAGCAATCGGTGTTGATAAAAATGCATATGTTAGGGAATAGTGTACATGAAATATATTCTAAAATATATTCTACAATATAGAACCAAAATACACATCCCTTAGAAGTTCACGCAATTTTGCGATATGGTTCTCCAAGGAATCGTTGTTGATAAAAATGCATATATTAGGGAACGGTGCACATAAAAATCAATACATTAGTGAAAATAACATCCAAGATTGCATTCTCTTATGGATATTTGCTTGCACAAATGTATACATCCGTCAAAATTGCACATAAAAATGAGTTTATTAGGAGGAATTTGCACCAAAATGCTGAGGCTTTGGAAGAAGAAAACAAAAACAAAAATTGGGTGGAGAACTGAATTTAAGATGTGGGAAATGAGAAACTGGCAGATCCCACCCTCTCTAGCTACAGGCAAACCCATTTTCAATTACCCTCCTTACCTGTCCACAGCAATCGCCAAGAGCGCATTGGTGGAGACGTAGAGTGAGACAGTGCGCAAGTAGTTGACCGAGGCGCAGAGCACATGGCCATGCTCCCAGGACAGCTGCCGGACCACATAGTAGTCCATCTCAAAAGGGCAGCAGACGATGGCCACAATGAAGTCAGAGATAGCCAGGTTTGCAATGAGAAGGTTGGTGAGATTGCGCAGCTTCTTATATCGGGCCAGGGCGGCGATGAAGACAAAGTTGCCGATGCCACAGACCAGCATGATACCAACCAGCGCCACGCCGATGACGATCTTGGCGGCGAAGAAAGTGCGGGTCTTGGTCACGTCATCGCCATCGTCCAGGGGTAGATCGTAGTCGTTGTAGCTGAAGTTGAAGGGGAAAGTGTAGTTTGGGTAAAAGGAAACGTCTCTGCTGAAGTGGCTGTATATTGCAGCAAAGTTGGTGCTCGCGAGCGTGTCGTTGGTAGGGTGCCATTCATGCCTCATGATGTTGCTCTGGTCAGTCTCTTCTTATCTCACGAGGAAGCTGTTGTGAGCTTATGCCTTCTCAGTATCTCCCAGGAAGGTCCAGCCAGGGAAGAGAGCTTACACTTCTGCAAATTGGGATCTTTGACAGCGACCCAGCCATTCCTCACCTTTTAAAATCAGAACAGAAAAGAGAATCAGAGGGAGCAGCAAATGTATGGGAAAGCAGAGGCATTCCTGTGCTAAAGAGCCATAGATCGGGAAATGAATAAAGCTTTGGCAGACCATGTGTAAATATTTCCAACTGCTCTGCATTTATATCACTCGCAATAAATATTTGAGATGCAGTGCTTTACAGTAGCATTTTGAAATAACATATGGGGGTAGGTGAGAGAGGTAAAAACAAATATTTTCCAGGTTAGGTTATGCTCCTTCTAGTCTACCTATTTGTGTAGCAATTATATAGAGCTGGGTGAAGCTACCAGATCTTTGTGTTGTCACCAATACTGCCTTGTTAATGGCTGCCAACACAGTAACAAATTTCCTCAGCTGCCTCTCTGGAAATTGCCACTAGACTGTGTCACCTCACTTCAGAGCACATGTCATGGACTTTTCCTTCAATTCTTTTACAATCTGCTAAGGGCTCAGAGAGAAACTGCATCTTGAGAGAAAGTGCATCTTGTGCACTTTGGAATGTTATAAGTAATTAAATTGAGTGGAAGCAATCTCACGCCAACAAGGCTTTTTATTATTATTTTGGAAGTGGTTAAACAGATACACAGTGTCAGATTTCCAAACTGTGCAATGGCATAAGCTTTGGTTTGGGTCAGTCAGCAAAACTGATTTTCAGCATGCATCTGAGGATAGGCTCAGGGATGCTGGGAAGTCTAGCTTTCAAGGGAGCGGAACAACAAATCTGAAACCACAAACTGCAGGGGATTGTTTGTTTTCTTGCATGTTCACATTTGTGTGTCGAGGACCCCCAAGACACCCCCGAATAAAAACACAGTTCACACATCGTTTTGGTTTTTGGCATAATTTTGGCCACAATTTTATTGAATTACAGTACGTGAGTGGTTGCTTAGGCATTGGTTAGCGACTATCTGTTCCCACTTGGAGGTAGGAACAGAACAAACAACCGCACCCTTGCGGAAGTCAGAAAGGGTAAACAATTTTGGGGAGAGAATAAAGCTGGGTGCCAGGCTCTCCCCTCTCCCCAAATGCTCCCATGGGCTCTTGCATGGCCCTAGCCCTTTGTCAGGGATACGGACAAAAGCATGGCGAGCCCCTGGATTCCTTTAAGGGAAAAGCCTTGCAGCAGCAGCATTAGAGGGGCAGGCACAGCCAATCCATGCCCCCTCCACCAACCAAAAATTAACGAGTGCCTAACCGCAACCTTGGGACGTGGGTGGCGCTGTGGGTTAAACCACAGAGCCTAGGACTTGCCGATCAGAAGGTCAGCGGTTCGAATCCCCACAACTGGGTGAGCTCCCGTTGCTCAGTCCCTGCTCCTGCCAACCTAGCAGTTCGAAAGCAAGTCAAAGTACAAGTAGATAAATAGGTACCGATCCAGCGGGAAGGTAAACGGCATTTCCGTGCGCTGCTCTGGTTTGCCAGAAGCGGCTTAGTCATGCTGGCCACATGACCTGGAAGCTGTACGCCGGCTCCCTTGGCCAATAAAGTGAGATGAGCGCTGTAACCCCAGAGTCGGCCACGACTGGACCTAATGGTCCGGGGTCCCTTTACCTTTACCTAACCGCAACCTTACATGTTGTGTCGATTTGTTACGCAGTAGGCAAAACCCAAATGGCACCAGCCAATCAGCCAAATGGTGAAATTCCTACCACGCCCCTGCCCCAAAGCAGACAACCCCATGACACGCATAGCAAGGTCAGCGCAAACAAACCCTAAATAAAGGGAGGGTGGGCAGGCAATCCGATGTTTGCAGCAAAAAGAGGAAGCTCAACGCTGCACACAGGGAACATATATAACACCCCCATCAATCAAATAAAATTGCAACAATAAATTTTCCCCAACAACAACTGAAGGTGTCCAATCAAATTCATGGCCATCCAAACTAACCCTCCCAGCAACAGGGGATGTCGTGATTGCTCCCACTGCAACACGTGCTCTCCATGAAGGAGAACCTGCTTTGGCAGATAAAGGAGTTGTATCCATGACTGCATATCTCGATGGGCTGTGGCTCAGCGGTAGAGCATCTGGTTTGCATGCAGAAGGTTCCAGGTTCAATTCCCAGCCTCTCCAGGTTCAATTCTCCAGCCTCTCCTTGATAAAATATAAATGCTCCAAAGTTTTGTGTATGGCTCTGATTCATTCACTGAGCCCTGCCTAGGGGAAGGTTTCCCCATTCCCAACAGTGATGATGGACATCTGCAGCACTGGATGGGTGCATAAATCCTGGAGCAGTTATTTGGCGGCAGTTGTGTGGATGCGCAATGCACAGAACTGACTGACTTGTGCAATTCAGGCTTTGTTTATAACCTGTGCATTGCTAATTCACATGGTACGTATCATTTACTTCTGCGGATGGGTCAGAAATTTTTCTTGCGTTCACAAACGTATGAGATGCAAACTTCTGAGTCTGGTTTGGTCATATTGAAAGCAACACAATAAAGGGCCACTTTATTTACGATGCAGACTGGCAAAGTGTTGCCTTTTGTTAGTTTCTCCTGGTTGGAGACCATGCCAGCTTCACCAGGAAAAGGGGAAGAGGACAGAGGGGCATTTAAATGAGCTTTATCTGCTTAATGATTGGAGGGTAAAGTATAATTAGAAATAATAATAATCAAGTGATCCCTTTCCTCTTGTTGAAAGGTTTACTTATTTACATGTAGCAATCAACACAATTTCTTTTCGTCTCCATACCCACTTTGCCTTGAAGCACACCATCATACTTTCAAATACTCTGAACCCATCTCTGGAAATGGACCTGCTTCTGGGTTCATAATATTAGGATGCCAAGCTGTGCGCACAAAAATGCCAAAGAGCAACTGAGAAAAGCAGCTGTTGGCAGTAGCTGTTCAACAATGTCCACTAAACAGCATGGCTTTTTTTTTTAGACAGCAAAGGAAAGCCTGCACAACAGGGGAGATCAGCTCCCGCTTGCACCCACTGAACAGTGTTTTTCAAGAAGCACATCAGTGTTCACAAGGCAGCTGTGCTGATGGATTTTTTTTCCCCTTCCAGAGGAAACTTCTTCGGGCAAAGTTCAATTCTTTATCATGTTTCAGCCATCAGAGGTACAAATGCACGCTTACCATTTATGTTAGCAAACCTCACCAAAATGAGCCTGAAGATACTAACGACGGTGATGATTGATGATAAAGCAGCATAGAATCTTTGAGGATTTTTGGTGGTTCACGGAGACATCGGTTTTTGTGGGCAGCCCAATAAACTGATGTCTCTGAGGTCCCACAATGCTTATTGCCTTTTTGTTACTGGAGACTAGCATAAATCTTGTAATTGAAAAGTCTTCAGAATGCCAGCTGAAGCAGCTTTATCTGGAAGTAAGTTTCACGAAAAACAATGAGACCTTTGCCACCCCCACCAAGGAAATGTGTTAGGATCAGGGTGTAAATAATTTCTAGAAATCAATCCAGGACAATGTTTGGAGAGGTGTGTGTGTGCCAAATTGCTGCAGAAGAACAGCAGAAAACACCCAAGCTCAAAATCAATTGATAGGTACAGCTATTTATCTATTTTAAAAAAGCAAATTAGGAGTTTATACATTTTCCAAATCAGCTTCCTGTACCTTGCAAAATAATAAACACAGCATTTTTTAAAAAGTACAAATCAGACTTTACCTGTTCCAAGGCTATGCTTTGTCTCTTTGATGCCGTGCAGAGACGCTGAGTTCTTAGTGCGCTACACTCCACAGAATGCTTGCAGTCCTGCTGGAAGCACAGCACTGAAGGTTATCTAGTGATGCTGTGCAGGACTAAAGACGGAATCGCACATCTGCCCTGTAGCTGAGAGAAATCGGAAGCCTGCCTCCCTCTGTGGCTGCATCTAAATCCTTTTCTCTGTGGGAGGCATCTCTACGCTTCCTGTGCAGATCTAATTTTAAAGAGCCAGTCCGCAATAAGTCACACACCCCTTCCCTATGTGTGTCTGGGTATGTGCGTAGACATGCATAAGATTCCGTTTCTATATTCAGAACGATCTTCCAGAACACAAGCAGAGCTCTTTATCTCTGAATTCATTATACGAAAGCATATTGCAAAACCTGATCACTGTGGGCTGCATAGATCATGGACTGGATCACGAGGCTCAATGTTGTCAGCTGTGATACCCTTCTCCCTTCTCCCTTCCCCCAAAACAATTTTCCTTCTCACGGCAGTTTTGACTGTGATATGATTTCCCCAACCACAATTCTCAGCGACTGAAACCATTTTAGAGAAGCACTGAGATTTCTAGGGTTTCTGTATGTTGGTAGTCACTTGGAATATGGCGTGACTGGGCATCCAGCATAAACTGTATTCTTGACCTGAAGCACCTAAATAAATAAATATTAGGGTACAGAATATGTATGTGAACTATGGGCACAATCCAGCTGAAAACAGGCATTTTAAAAAAACAAACAAACCTTGAGAGTTATGCATATTGGCCTCCACAGTCACTTACGGACCGACTGTTAAGACCATTTTCATGGAAGACAATCTTACTACTCTCTCTCTCTCTTTTAATTCAGTCTTTATTGGTTTAAAATCAACATAGACACACACACAAAAACTTAGAAAAAGAAAAAGAATAAAGAAAACAGAACAAAAAACACACAGCATATCTCTTACAAATAAAAATAAAGAAGAAAATAGAACAGTACATCGCGAATACACAAAAGTATTTCAGCCATCAACTTCTGACTTCCTTGATGCGGGTTCTTTGTTTCCTTAATTACTTGCCTCTATTTTTTTTAATAAACTTAGTCTTTATTAAATCTTATTTGTGTTCTTTATACCTTATTCAATTCCAAGAGTTAATCAAAGTATTCTAAAGTTTTAATATGGGGACACTGTTCTTTTAAATATTGTCTATAGATTTCCCTTTCCCTTTTCAACTTTTGGGTCGGTCGATCTCTGATCTTTTCCGTCATATATGCTAGTTCCACATATTCAAGCAGTTTGCTTGCAACTCCTCTTTTCATTATTATTATTATTATTATTATTATTATTATTATTATTTATGTTTAGAGGGGATTCTGATTTAGTCATAATCCAGTCATAATCCCACAGATGGTAGCTTTGCCCCACTGGCTCCTCAGCCAAGCACATACACCAAAGGTCTGAACCTGCAGTTCCTCTCATACTGAGCAGGATTTTGATTGCAACAACACCTCACCAGCAGGGTAAAACTAACCTGTCTCACAACGGTCTAACTGCCACTCTTCTTTTGATGGAATTTTATCTCCTTTCCACAATCGTACTCGGCTACGAGTTACAGTGGTAACCTTCAGCTTACATATGCTTCAGGTTACAGACTCAGCTAACACAGAAATAGTACCTCGGGTTAAGAACTTTGCTTCAGGATGAGAACAGAAATCGTGCTCCGGTGGTGCAGCGACAGCAGGAGGCCCCATTAGCTAAAGTGGTGCTTCAGGTTAAGAACAGTTTCAGGTTAATAATGGACCTCCGGAACGAATTAAGGACTTAACCTGAGGTACCACTGTATTGCCAAAGTAGAAGAAGAAATTGCAAATAACACAGAGGAAAGAGAGAAGCGCCAGTCACTTGAAAGGGCCATCCCTGTTTGGATGCATCAGTCTGGAGCAGTGTCCATGGGGGTGGGGAAATGGGGAGGGTTCAATTGCCATTAGTTGCTAGGAAGCCAGTCTCAGTGACTTTATCTACAACTGCCTGTACAAAACTGCTGTCCTCCAGATGTTTCGGACTCGCAGACTGGGGAAAGCTAATCTTCAGCAAAGCTGTTAGTGCGAGCTCCATTCAAGAACAGGAATGAACAGCATCGTCCCAATGGCTGAATGGGATTATGCTATAAAACACCTGCCGTGAATATTAGGAAAACAGTACATTTCCCCCTGGTTGTGTGTGTGTATGTGTGTGGGGGGTGCTTTTCAAAAATACAGTCATACCTCAGGTTGAATGTGCTTCAGGTTGTGCGTTTTCAAGTTACGCTCTGCAGCAACCCAGAAGTAACGGATGGCATTACTTCCGGGTTTCGCCACTTGCGCATGCACAGACACTCAAAATGATGTCACACGCATGCACAGAAGCGGCAAAATGCAGCACGCGCAGACACGCAGATGTGTCCTACGTTCTATTCAGGATGCAAACGGGGCTCTGGAACGGATCCCATTCGCATCCAGAGGTACCACTGTATTTGAAATTCCATCGACCTGCTATTTCATACCCATGGCTAGCTCAGTTCATATGGAAGAGGGAGGAAGGTGCCTCTGATGACAGATACTGGACAGTGTTGATGAGCTACAGAGCCATTGGTCTTTTCTGTGCTCTGTCCTGCCACCTGTCAGGCTTCAGGGAATCTGATTCCTCCCATGGTGGCAGCCAATAAGCAGATAAACAAGAGGAGTTCTTACCAAGTAATTTATTTCATAATTTACATAGAGAGAAAATAACAACAACAACAATTTATTATTTGTACCCCGCCCATCTGGCTGGGTTTCCCAGCCACTCTGGGCGGCTTCCAACAAAGATTAAAAATACATTAAAATGTCACACATTAAAAACTTCCCTGAATAGGACTGCCTTCAGATGTCTTCTAAATGTCAGGTAGTTGTTTATCTCTTTGACATCTGATGGGAGGGTGTTCCACAGGGCGGGTGCCACTACCGAGAAGGCCCTCTGCCTGGTTCCCTGTAGCTTTGCTTCTCGCAGCAAGAGAACTGCCAGAAGGCCCTCAGCGCTGGACCTCAGCGTCCGGGCAGAACGATTGGGGTGGAGACGCTCCTTCAGGTATACTGGGCTGAGGCTGTTTAGGGCTTTAAACGTCAACACCAACACTTTGAAGGAATGCTGCCTCCCTAAGATAACGGCGTCGCTCCAAGTAAAGTCCAGCCCCCTCCATCTCTCCTATTCTACGTCACTCTTGCGTCGGCTAATCTGAGCCTTCTGTCTCTGAGCTGTCTGCTCTACCACCCTCAATGCCCGCCTGGTCCAAGGACCCTGAGTCTGTAGCTGTCTCTCCTCTGGTGTTCCTTCTTCCCGCTGTTCCTTGTGGGAATGTTAAGGATAGTAGGAAAGGATATATTGGATAAGTATTATCCTTCCTTCACTCACGCTAGTAAGTGATATAGCAGAGCAGATTCCCCTTCAATATAACTCGAAGCTAGTTTGCAGATTCATTTGAATCTCTTACTAAAGATTATTTCCTGGTGTCCCCTTTAATCCCTCTTAAAAAAATAAAGACACAAGAGTCTTTCTGAGTAAAGTAACAAAAAGTTTACTCACATTTCAGTTCACGGTTTGATCCCTGAAAGGCAGACTTTTACTTGGCAGTTACACAATAAACTGTGAGTTCATCTCATATGGAGACTGAACTCATGTGCAAAATTACATTAAGACAACAAAACGGCTGCAAGAGAGCAGCATGGCAGCAAAAGAGCAGCAAGACAATAGAAAATCAAAACAGACTGAGAAAATGGCTGCATGACTCTGCTCTTTTATGGAGTCAGCCAGTGCCACACCCATCTCCCAGATCACATGCAGGGGGAGGAAGCTCCAGATCAGTGGAACAGGAAGTTACACTGACTGGATTCCCCCCTGCCTGTGCCCGCTCTAGGGAAATAAGGAATGTTGCATTTGACTGCACCAATGGATTACATCCCACATTCCTCTCCCAATATTTCCCAGCTTCTCCCCTCTGCAGCCTCTGAACTATGACCTTCTGCAAACCACTGTTCTAAATCTATACTGTCTTCCTGTTCTTGGGAAGGTTCAGGAGGGGGCGGCGGCCCCCACCATTCCTCCTCAGTCCAGCCCCTGACACCACCACTGTTTAAACAATAATCAACTTGCAGACCCTCCAGCTTGTATGCGCAGAACAGGAAGGGGCAATACTGTGTTCTTTTTCTTGGTTGGCCAATGCTTTGGCCCAGCACAAATAAGAGCCCCGGTGGCCCATCTAGTCCAACACACTGTTCTCATAGTGGCCAGTGTGATGACCGTGGGAGGCCAGCAGGCCAGAACTGTGCACAACAGCCTTCTCCCTTCCTGTGGTTTCTGACAACTGGCATTCAGAAGCACATTGTTTTCATCAGCGAAGGTTAGGGGTGGGTATTGCAGTCATGCATCTGTTCATTTCCCTCCTCACTTAACGGTACTAATTCAGCTACACAATTAGAATCATTAAGCATTAAGATCTCCCTCCTTCCCTTCCACGATCACAGCAGGAGACAGGAATAGATACAAACATTGAATGGCAATGGCTGCTGTCCTCACCTCAATTAAATGGAGTTCACGGGAATGCACTTTCAGCAACACAACTGCACAGTTATAATTGGTCGGCTTTGATAAGTTGCCACTTGCTTCATTGTTTTTTTCATAATGAAATAAATTTGTACCAGTAAACATTGCTTAGCACATGCATGAAAGCTGATTGGCTCGCAGAGCTCCTGAACAGCCATGAGTGGGGCTCCGCACAATGACTGCAAAAATTGTCACCATCTCTAGTGGAGGTAGAACATAGCTATCAGTTAGGAAAGCTGTCATGACAAAGGGACAAGGCTGGCACTGTGCTCTAAACCACTGAGCCTCTTGGGCTTGCCAATTGGAAGGTCGGCAGTTCAAATCCACGCGATGGAGTGAGCGCCCATTGCTCTGTCTCAGCTCCTGCCAGCCTAGCAGTTCAAAGCACACCATTGCAAGTAGATAAATAGATACCGCTGTGGCGAGAAGGTAGACAGTGTATCTGTGCGCTCTGGCTTCTGTCACAGTCTTCAGTTTCACCAGAAGTGGTTTAGTCATGCTGGCCACATGACCTGGAAAGCTGTCTGTCGACAAATGCCTGCTCCCTTGGCCTGAAAGTGAGATGAGCGCCCAAGTCGCCTTGGATTTAACCATCCAGGGGTCCTTTACCTTAACCTTTTACCATGACGAAGGGGAAAGGGAGGCAATTGAATGAACCTGCTTCCTGCTTCCCCTTGGGGATGCAGACCGTTGGATTTTTTTAAATGTTCAATATGTGCAACCCCAGCTGCGTGACTGGAGAAGGGAGCTGAGCAGAGGGAAGGAAGGAGACAGGAAGACAGATGGATTGATGGAGGAGGAGAGGAGGCAGAGCAGAACAAACTTGACTCGAATGGCTGTGGAGGAAGAACCTGGTGGAGCACAAAAAGCGATGAAAAGCAAACTTTTTGAATTTCTGATTCATGGTCTCTCCTGGTTTCGGAGGCACTGGTACATCTCCTTACCAAGGGTGCAAGGGAGCCATTGCCCAGATTGTCCCCCATCCTGCTAGGTATACACATGAGGAATGAAGAAGAAGAAGAAGAAGAAGAAGAAGAAGAAGAAGAAGAAGAAGAAGAGGAGGAGTTTGGATTTGATATCCCGCTTTATCACTACCCTAAGGAGTCTCAAAGCGGCTAACAATCTCCTTTTCTCTTCCTTCCCCACAACAAACACTCTGTGAGGTGAGTGAGGCTGAGAGACTTCAGAGAAGTGTGACTAGCCCAAGGTCACCCAGCAGCTGCATGTGGAGGAGCAGGGAATCAAACCCGGTTCACCAGACTACGAGTACACCACTCTTAACCACTACACCACACTGGCTCTCTGAGTTTACTCTCTCTATGAGTTTAGTGTCATGTTATCATGCATTTGTTGAACCTTCTCTCCATCAGAAAGAGCATTCATAATGTAAACATCAGTCCATTACAGCTGGATGCCTTTTGATATTAAAAATAGTAGGCTGAATGGATCTCTGTGTACTCACTTGAAAGGTCAATCTTTTAATTTTTTTTCATGGTGCAACAATTCTTGACAGCTCATATGAATAAACAAGAAAATGGTTGATGGGACTGGGATTGAGGAGCTGTCAGAATCTAAAAGGAACTGTTTATTTCTTCTGCCACTGGGGATTCTAATATTATGTTACCTTAAGATGAATTCTTTAGCACGCTGACGTCAGTGACAAAGGCTTCATTCCTGCTCCCCCTGCCCTCTTTTGCCTTTAGACCAGAGTTTGCCATGTTCAATAATTCCTGGTGACTAGTGAGATTGGATAGCCGTTTTCTGAAGGCTTAGCTAGAGATATTTTGCAAAGGTTTGTAAAGGTAGCCCTCCAGGTATTTTGGGCAGGTACCAAGATAACTAAGTGTTCTCCAAGTGAACTCTTGCATATTTGGGCCATAGGTGTGCAA